TTCTTAAATGATGTATAACTTTTATTTTAAAATGTAATATTAAACACAAAGCAGGACTATACACTCTCCAGGTGAATCTGACAGGATGTGAAATATTCTTCAATGAAGTTTAAAACAAACAAAAAATAAAAAATGGAAAGGAAGGTTTTTAAAATGCACACACAATTAGATACTAATACACGCACACCAGGGTGGACGGAACTCAAAGGAGTGACAATATTCCGGATTGGTAAAGATGCGGAGCCACTGAAACCCACACACAGTTGCCAAGAATGTAAAATGTACAACCCCCTGAAAAGCCACAGCCACTGCAGTTGGGCCCAGGCACACCCCCTGTCCCTGCGACTCAGCTGCTAGTTATACATCCAAAGAAATGTGTACATATACGTCCCCAAAGACGCGTTCACAGAAGCACTACTCATAGAAAACACTGGAAACAACCTGAATGTCCATCAACAGGGGATTGGATAAATTGTTCTATGTTCATAGAGTGGAATACTAAACAGCAATGAGAAACTACAAAGTACAGCTACATACCACAAATATAAATATTGGGGGAAAGCAGTCAGAAATAAAAAAGGGAGAGAGAGAAAGAGAGAGAGAGAGAGAGAGAGAGAGAGAGAGAGAGAGATATCAAGCTGCATCATTCCATTTACAGAAAGTTCCAGAATAGGCAAAACTAAACTACAGCACTAGAAATAAGAGTGATGTTGGGGTTGGGGGCAGAAGTCAGGTAGTAAACCAGAGGGAACACCCAGGAGTCGCCCCAGGGCTAGAAACCTGAGCTGGCTGGTGGCTGCAGGGTTGTGTCCATTTTGTAAAAATTCAGTGAACTGAACACTCAAAATTGGAGCATTTTAGAGTATAGCTATTGTACAAAAAAAAAAAAAAAAGGAGACAAACCAAATAAAAAGGATGAGGGGTGGGGTGTTGATCAGTGGCAAAACCCACGCTTAGTATGTGTAAGGTCATGAGTTCCATTCCCAGCAACAGAAAAGGGAAAAAAAAAAAAATGAGTTCAGTTTGGAATTCTTGTTGTACTCCAGCCAGAGGCCCTTAGAGAGGTCTGGACTAGCCTGAGGGATTTGTGAATCATCTGCTAATGATCACTGTAATTACAGCCATCACTTTTACTGGAACTTCTGCAGAGGGCCCTACCTGGGCTAGGGACCTCGCCTGAGCTTGCTCATTCAAACTTCACAAGAACCAAACAAATTCAACAGGACTGATGAACCCACTTTATGGATGAGAAAATTGAGGCTTACAGAGTCCTATATATGCCCAGTAAGTGGAGGAGCAGGACCTAAACCTCAGACCCTAGACCAGCCTGCCTCCTGATGAAGCAATCTATTATCAGGGATTGCGGGTTAGGAGCGTCAGTAGGCTCATGCTCAGAAATATGTAAAATTGTTAGTAAGGATGTATGAGTCGGGTATTTGTTTTCTGGGTTTTTTTTTTCCCCTGAGCTAAGGGTTGATCACTTTCATTAGCTCATGAGGAACCTCAGATTTAACAGTGGGTACATTCATGGCCTGGGACAGGTGGCAAAGAGATTTAGTGGCTACCAATCTGATGGCCTTTCTTCCTCCAAAATTAGATGCCAGACCTCTGCAGGAAGCAGGTGTGATGAAGAACCCTGGCCCTGGGGTAGGGGTGTAGCTTAAAGGCAGAGCAGGGGCAAGGCCTTGAGTTCGATCCCCAGTATTTGCAAAAAGAAAAAGAATAAAAGGACCCTGATTCTGACTGACTGCTGGTCAGGGCCCTGACAGGCCCTGGGGAAGCCCAAGACCTGGCCAGAGAGCAGCTCTAACTGATCCCTTTAACAGCTGGGCTGGGGCACCTCAGATGATGGGCTGGAGTTTGAGTGGATGATTATGTGGCCGGGTGGGAGTAAAATCAGGTTAGAATGCAGACTAATCTACCAGACAAAAGCATCCTGACCCAGCCATATTCCAAAGAATGCGCCCATCCCACCCTCTCCCCAAACTGTTCCTCCCATCCCTCCCATGAGCAGTTCTAACCAAAACCCAGGGGCTGGCCTTCCTGTTCCCTGCCCTCCACTGTCTGAGAAGCAGCCCAACCTCCACAAGCCACCAGACAGAACCCTTGCTTTCTCCAGCTCCTCTCCCTGGTCACTCTCATCTGCAATCTCCTCGCCTCAAACTAGTCACCCCACTTCTCTCCTTGTCTATCAGTATCTGGCCTGTGGCCAGCTTAATTTTTTTAAATGCTTATTTTGGAATAATTTCAAATTCAGAGAAAAGTTTGAGATAGTACAATGAACTACCATATGACCTTCACCAGATCCAACAACTGTGAACGGGTCTGTTATTTGATTTTCCACCGTCTCCCATATCCATACACGTATATCTCAGTGGTATTTTTTTTTCCTCTTCCTGAACTAGCAAGGAAGTTGTAGGTATGGTGTCCCTTGTTCCTAAATGATTCTGCATTCTTATTCCCTAAGAACAAGGACACTCTCTTACACAACCAGGGCAGTTATCAACTTCATGGAACCTATTGATTTGATGCTATCGGTTCATCTACAGTCCATACTCCAATTTCGTCAATTGCCCCCATGAATGATCTTCTTGACAGCCATTTCTTCCCTGATCCAGGATCCAATCCAGGGCAGTAAACTGCTTTTAGCTGTCACTTTTTTTTTTTTTTTTTAGTCTTTTAATCAGGAGCAGTTCTCAGCCTTCCTTTGTCTTGCATACCATTGACATTTGTTAAGAGTACAGGCCAGTTCTGTGAAATGTCCCTCCATTTGAGTCCCTCCTCATTCCTACAGTTTAAAATTCCAAGACCTCATTAGAGGCCTTCAGGGAGAGTCAGGACCCACCTCCCCCCATCTTGTCTTTTGACGGCTCTCAACCACTCTCCCTGGGCCAAGCTTTCGGCTTGTGCATTCTGCATTCTGTCACCTTCACAGAACTCTTCAGCTCTTCACACACACAAAAAGGATCACTCCCTCCATCACCCAGGTCAGGCCCTCTGACCCTGCCCCTCACCCTTGGGCCAAACCAGACCCTCGGCATTTTATTTTCTTTGTGGCCTGTGTCCCTATTTAGAATTATTTCCTCCAGTGATTTGTGTGTTTATTGCCTGCCCCCCCCACCCTAGAATGTGCTCCAACGGGGGCAAAGACTTCTGTTTGGTTCACTGCCGCGTCCTAGGTCCCCAAGCAGAGGCTGGTACACAGGAAGCACTCAGGATTTATTTGCTAAGTAAATGAACAAGTGAGGAAAGAGGAAAGCACTGTGCTTGGGAACTAAAGAAACCAGGAGGCAGCAAGAGCCAGGGGTCTCAAGAGGCCCTTCCATTTTCTAGAACCTTCCCCAGACCTCCCTTGATGCCTCTAACCAGAGAAGGAAGAGCTCAGCCAATCTCCCTTATCTTCAGGATCCCATCACTCCACCAGCCAGTCCTGATTAATCTTTCTAAATCAATCCCAGTAGGCTGACAGGCTGAATTCCAGAGATGGATCTGATGGGCCCTGCAGAAGGCCCACGGCCCCCTATTGTCCATTGGCCAGGCCAAAGTGCAGGGCCTCCCCCATCCTGATACTGGAGTTCCACCCCCCTTTCAGCCGAGGGTGTGGGGGCAGGGAGAATAAATAACCAAGTACAAAATCCTGCTAATGGCTCTTTAATTGCAATGCATGAGGACTCAGTGACCTGCCTCCCAACCCCAGAGCAAAGAGCCCAGCCCCCCAGGTGCTTGTCACTTACTTATCCATTTCACTGACCAGGCTGTGAATATTTACTGCTCAAACTGTATCAATACTCAAGGTTATAGGAAAGGAAAATGCCACCTTGCTTTGATCCAAACCCCATTCATTCTTGCCTTTACCTCTTGTAGAGGAAGAAACCCAATCTGCTTAAAGCACCTCCTGTTTCCAGAGGTCTCCAGGGGCAGTTCCAAATAACCTGGAATGCACACCAGGGTTACAGGCCGCTGCCCCTCCACCGAACTCCACGAGGGAACCAGCAAAGCCTCTCCCTCACTGTGTGACCCGGGCAAATCACTCAGCTTCTCTGAGCTTTTTGTACAAAAACAAACAAATAAAGATGGGGCTGATAATGCTGGCAAGACCTAAGGAGCACACAGCCAAAGAACAGAGAAGGTGGTGTTCTGGGGAAGAGAAAAATTAGCACCTCACCCCACAAGGAAAAAGGGGAGGGAGAGCATTGGGTTGAGGAATTTCTAATCAGGCTCCACCCCAAGCAGTGAATGGGGTACAATTCCCACCTGGTAGCTAATGGGATTAGTATGGGCTCAGCTCTGGGCATTGGCCTGGGGTCCAAGTGTCCCTTCCACTGCTAGAGTTGGAGATGTGGGGCATGGGATCCCACTTTTCCCTCCAAGATAAGCAAGGCCTCAAGGATGGGGGTGGCCTTCCCGCCTTTATTGCATGACCTCAGCGGCCAAGCCTACAGAAGTCCAGCCGTTGGAAGGGCAGGAAGCCACAATGCAGGACTCTGTGGTCACCTCTAGCTGGAATTCCTCAGCTGGTTCTCACGTTGGCCTCCTCATCCACCAAATGAGCGTCTGGCGGTAGGACTACAGTGGCCAGGTCAGGCGCTGCCGTAGAACAGTGTGAGCAAAAGGCGCTCCCAGAGTAGTGACTGCTACACTACTCTCAAGAGGACACTGCCTCCACCAGGTCCCAGCCAGATCTCCCGCGGCCGGCACTACAAGCAAAAGCCAGGCCAGCCAGGGAGATCCAAGATCAGATTGCCAGGCCGTAGGGCCTGCCAGCACCCCGGGTCGGACTGCATGACCCGAGGAATGGAAAAGACAGGCAAACTTGCACACGCATCAACATGGCTTTGCCAGGCGCACACAAGGGGATGATCCAGATGGCCTGTATACCGGAAGGCCACCCCCAATTCCTGTCTCGGGGGTGCCCAGCGCCCCACGTTCTACGCAGCTCACTACTCAAAAGAAAATCCTGGTCCATGTCGCTGCACCCAGGCGGGGCACACAGCAGGGGTGGGGGGGTGGGGGGGCCAGGTCCTTGTGCCCCGACAGCGGGGATCTCCGCCTGCCCCTCCCCCGCAGGAGGCTTCACAAAGGCCCTTTGTCCCGCCGAGCCCCTGCGACTCCAGCTCCTGAAAAGTTCCAGGAGAAAAATCAAAGAGAGAAGCAAAATCGGTGAGCGCAGACGGGTGGGCGGGCGGGCGGTGGTGGGGGTGGGGGGCGAGGTGTCTCTTCCAAGAAACCAAAGACCAGAGGAGCTTCAGGAGTTCCCCGGGAAATCGTAAAAGTTCTAAACTTCAGTTTGAAGGAGAAGAGGTGGACTTTTTTCCCTTAACATCAGGCACAGAAAACAGCCGGGCAATTTGGACCCGTCTTCCCCCACCCAGGCTGGGCAAGTCTGCAGCCCCGCGTCACACTTCCCATCGCGCCCGGCTCCGGGCTCGGCAAACTGCTTACTCCCTGCCCGGCGCCCGCCCAGTGCAGTCTCCGCCGCAGCCCAAGAGTCCCTCTTGGGAGATGGTGGAGGCTGCAGGGCCTTCTTGGACAACTCCTCCACCTTTCCTTGTTGGACCCCTGGTATCCCCTCCACTGCCCAGGCTCCGTGCGGATCCACTCCCTGCACCACCTCTTTCCCCTAAGCTCAGAAAGGCAGCAGCCAGGCTTGGCGTTCCTGCTGCGCGGCGAGCCCTTGGGCGCAGGGTCACTGCCCTCCCACTCCTGGAAGAGAGACCCGCAGAAGCCAACAGGAAACTGGGGTCCCAGAGCTGGGTTCACCGTACGCCTGCCCCCCCGCATCTCCCGGCCGCGGCTCCGCACTGGTGGTGGAGTCGCGGGCAGAACTCTGGGCCCACGGGCGTCGGGAAAGGCGTTCGTTTGCCAAGAAAAAAGATCCGAGTTCGGGGAGCGGGTGTCTCATGGGGCGTGGGGGCTGACTTGTTCTTTTCTCGCCCAGATTTCGCAAACTCCAGCCCAGGGTAGTGCCACAGGAGCCTGGGACTGGCATGGCCCCTGGTGGCTATGATTTCGGCAGACGCTTGGATCTCAAGCGGGTCCGGCGCGCTGGAGACCACAGCCGAGCACCTCTTGGTCGGGGCCTCGGAACTGGCCTTGCCCCAGGCCCAGGGATTCCCCCGTACTGAGAGCTGAGCCCGCCAGCACCAATGGGCCAGCCGAGAGGTGCCCAACCCAGGCCATGATCTTCCCAGGCCTCCCTCCCCAGGATCCCAGGAAGTCAGGAAGAGTGGACAAGGCGCGGGACACTTACCCGGGTGCGGGTGGAGGTTGAGGCCGGCCATGTATTTCCCGGGCGGCAACGGGCCGGGCAAGCCCGAGGCGGGCAAGCGTCCGGCAGTAGCCGCACCCACGCGGTGGCTGTCCATGCCCAAGCCGGACAGTAGCGGCGGCGGGGGGCCGTGCACGGACCGCTGGGGCCCGAAGTCTCGGCCATCCATCCTCCGCGGGAGTGCCGCGGCCAGACCCCCACCTGGCCTGCCGGCCTTGCTCAGTGGGATCTAAAAGTTCGGCCTCGATGTAGTCCCAGAGTCCTCGGGTGGCGGGGGCTCCGCGGTGTGCATGGCGGCGGCCAGCGGGGCTTGCGCTCGGAAGCGGGCCGGTGGCCCGAGGCGCACAGACGACCGGTGGTGGGGCCCCTTTGGGTGGCCAGGAAGAGTTTCGAGAGACCGGGCACACGGCGTCTTGGCAGGGAGAGGAGACGGGCCACGGAAGACAAGGGGGGGAGAAAAAGAAAAAAAAAAGTTTCAGAAAGTCACCTCGCCCTTCGGGGTCTAGGGCTGCTGATCTGGTGGCCAAAAATAAAATCGGGAGTAGCCCCTTTTCCACGAAAAGTAAAACTCCATGCTCCGACTCGCAGCGGCTTCAGGCTCCGGTGATCTGGCTCAGAAAAGTGACCGGTGGAGCACTGTGCCCTAGACCCGACTCTACCACGGCAGCCGCTGGGTCCTCCCGAAACTGGGGAAGGCCACTCGGCCAGCCGCACCCGGACAGCATAAATACAAACCTCTTAAGTGTTTTATTCCCGAGCGTCACATGCTTCGAGGTTTTAAACTGTGAAACCTTTTCATGAGCGGCTCGAAATGTTTCCCTGAACACTAAGTCACTATCTAATCCGGAAAGTTTAATATTTAACCTTTTGGGGCCCTCGCCTCCCTTTTCTGAGTTTGATTTTCCTGAGCTCGCCCTGTGAGCCACCAAAGGAGTGTTTGGTTTGGAGCTTTTCGTTGTTGTTGTTGTTTCGGGAGGGAGGGTGCGAAGCGGGTTTATTATTTCTAAGGAGGCCCGCTGCCCCCTCCTGTTGCCCCTGTCCAGTCACCGTGAGTCTCAGAGCCTGAGTCCGAGGACCCGAGACGTGGCATTCTCGCCTGAGGACTGGAAAGAATCCTTCAAAACAAGCTTTGGTTTCATTTTCCAACGCCCCAGCCTGGGAATCCTGTGGCCCGAGGACTTGACCTGGAGCTGGGGATTTGGGGGCGTCAGAGGGGAAAGAAGGGGATCAAGGATCTCAATCCTACCCTAGCTTTCTCCTACCCCAAAAAAATAATCTACAAAGAAAACCTTCGCAGCGCGGGCCGGCTGGGGGGCGCCTCCCCCAGCGTTGGGTAAATCCCCCTGTAGTTCCAGTTTCAAGCTGTTTGTTTAAAAGATTTGTCTTTTGCCGATTCCCGTGGGGGCGGGAAGGGATCTTGGAGCCCACCCTTCCCTCGCTGTCCGTCAGCCCGCCTGCCGCAGCTCTGATTCCCGATTCCGGGAGGCCGGGGCTCTCTGGAGCCGCGGATCGCGCCAAAGCCGCCCGCTCTTGGGTACCAGCCCCGCGCCCCAACTCCGCGCCCAGCCTCTCAAGCTGCAGACCCTCTTAGCTGCAGACCCCCGGCCTCCTCCTCCACTTTGTTAAGGGTGGCTATTTTAACGTGGTTTGGGTTTCAAACACCCCCTCGCTCCCTTGCATCAAGCTCTTGTTACCAGATCCGCGTTTGCTTAGGAAAAATCTAAGATCGTCACATCCGAGGATTCAAGTCTCAAGAAGGCGATGAGCTTCCAATGATTTTTTAAAATAATGTTTTTAGGGAAGCTTTATTTTAAAAGCCAGCGCTTCGGAGCATGCCCAGGCGCCCCAGCTTGAGGGAGTCGGGGTGAAGCTCCCCGGAACACCCTGGCAATGGTAAAGAAGCTGGCGTGGACAACCGCAGGCTCCGCTGCGTTTTCCCTACTTCTCTCCCCCTCTTAAATGCAGTTAAAATGGCTGAATTCCGGCTTTTAATTAAAAACAGCCTATAATCGAAAACGTCTCGGCGTCCCCGGCTCCCCCGCCTCTGCCGCCTGCCGGGCACCGACGCCCCTCGGCGATGTGGTGCAGGCTGTATCGGACTGGGAACTCGGGTGGGCGCCCAAGGAACAGCAGTCAGCCCTCACCTTCCCAGGGCCCCCTTTGCCCTCTGCCCCTAGCCCCCGATTTCGTCCCCATCAGCCGGACAGCTTCGGGAACCCTCGCACAACCCAAAGGGCAGGCGGGATGGGGTGGTGGGGTGCGAACTGCAAAGTTTGGAGACCCTCGCGCCCGGCCGGGGCAGCCAGAGGACCAGCGGCGTACCTGGCGCGGCGGGGCTCCGAGCTCCGGGCTCCAGCGACAGCGACTCCGGTAGCAGCCCCGACTCTCGGCGCAGCTAGGCGCCGGTGCTGCCCGCCATCCCGCGGCCGCCGCTCCCCTCCGCCACCCGCAGCCGCCTCACACTTTTTGCCCGCCTTTCCTTTTTTTGGTAGAAAACCGCTCCCCGGGCCGAGCGCTCCGCGCGCCAACTCCTCCGCCCTCCCGCGGCCCGGCTCCCGCAGCACCCGGAAAAGCCAGCTTTCCTCCCGCCGAGCTCCCCGCTTTTTAATAAAATCCAGGTAGCGCCGGTTTAAAGAATCCCAAATCTCCATATACAGCCCGGGATTGGAAAAGGTACATTACACAACCCCCCTTTCAAGTTCCTCTCGCTGGATCTAAAAAAAAAAAAAAAAGCTAGCGCGGGGGGGGGGCGGGGGCTGGGGGAGGGGAGCCCTCGCAGGCGAAGAAACACGCATTGTTCCCCGGCGCCCGCCCCCCCCCCAGGGCCAGCCTCCGGCCGCCGAGCATTGGCCGCGCGCGCCGCCCATCACGCGCATGTAAACACCTTGGCCCTCAGCCATTCCTATAAAACCAATTACGGACCTCAGGGCTCCAGCAGTTTCCAGGCTCCCCTCGGCGGGGCTGAATGATCAAAACTGGTGGTGAGAATTTTTCCGGGCCGTTTCTAGGCAGCCCTCCCCCTCCACCAGCTCGGGCCCCCCCTTCCTCCTTCTCCTCCCTTTTCCTCCCCCCTCCTCCAGCGTCTGGGCTGAGTGATCAAAATAGAGGAAGATGGTTGTCGCCGCAATCCAGGGCTTTGCAAGGCGCGGTTTAATGGGCCGGCTGTCAGCTTCCTGCTCGCAGGAGGAGGTGACAAGCCGAGCGAGCCGGGAAGGGCCTGGGGCCCGGCGGACTGCACCCAGTGCCCACGCCCCGGCCCCCCACCTCCCCTGGGTGCGCCTCTAGAACGCGCGGTGGAGACGCCAAAACAGACAAGGGCTGCTTTTTCTTTTTTCTTTCTTTTTTTTTTTTTCCTTTTCCTTCCTTTTAAAACAAAGCAGCGATTCATTCCCTCTCCCCCAGGAGCGCAGTCGGGTGGGATGGGCAGGCGAGAAGGCCGTTTTCCTTGTCCCGGCCTGCGGGTCCCTCCCTGAAAAGCAGTGTCAGATGGTTACTGATTAATATTTTGGAGAGGCCGCGGCGGCGGGCAGCGGGTGAGTCTAATCTCCTAAAGGGGGTTCCTATAGAAACGCGCGCGGGCCAGGGCGCGCCCCCTTCTTGGCCCCGGCCGGGGCTGCGGTGCTTCTGCAACGCGAGCCCCTCCCCGAAGCCCCTCTTGGCGTGGGCGGTCCCCTCCCCCTTCCCCCCCAAAAAAAATCAGAGCAGAAAAAAGGATTAGATCGGCTGAGCGCAAGCTGAATCCCTCTCGATTCTGACATTTCAGCCTATTAGCATTTCTCCACGGGGCCTTCTGAAACCTATTAAAGTGTAATATTAAAAACCTCTTGGCTGGGGGCCTCTCTCGCCTTCCATCCGCCGCGCCCCCTCCAGGGAGGGCGAGACCGGGGGAAAAAAAAAATCTGTTGAGCTCAGAGGAAGCAGCAGCCAAGCCCAAAAGTGCTTGGCTGGCCACGGCGGCCAGAGGGGGAGGGGAGCCCCAATCCCCCAGACTTTGTACTTTATTTTGCGCTTTCAGCAAAATCCTTTCTGGGTTGAGTAGCCGGGAGCTGCCAGCGGCAAACCTATCTGGCTAGAGGCGCAGGGAATGCGGACCCTGCCGGAGGGACAGTCCTAGGGGCCCCGCACCCTCTCCGCAGCCCCGGCAGGCACCCGAGTCCAGCTAGGCATTACGTACCCTCGAAAGGAAGCTTGAAGGGGCAGAAATCCTGCTGATCCTGCCTCGGAGAGCAACCGTGGTGATAGGATTTTAATTAAAACAAGAGAAGCCCGCTCTTTCGCCCCGCGCTGCGGACTCAGCGTTTTCGCATTGCTCCTATTTTTTTTTAATCCATTTTTAAGGCAACTTTTCTGGAGGGGGGGGAAATGAGCTAGTTAGCGCCCATTCGTTCTATTTTCTTTTCTCCACTTTTAGAAAAAAGGGGGAAGGGTTCGAGAGCGAACTGGGGGTGTCTAATTTAATTCCAGGATAAATTTGAGGAAAAAAGTTCGGCCTCAGGAGGGCAGTTTCAAGTTGCCCTTCTTGGATCCTCCTGCGCTGGTTTCTAGGCTGCCCTCTTTTGGAAGCTGGAGCTCCGCGGGGGAGGAGGGAGGAGTGAAGAGAGAAAGGAACGAAAATAGCCGGAGCCAAGGGGAACAAGCTGCGGTGTCCGCGCTTGGAGCTGGGCGCGCGGGTCTCAGTGGCAACCGGGGCGGCGGGAGATGCCCGGTGCAGCCCCAGGACGGCCAGAAGCAAAGACCGAAAGGAGAGGGGGGTTAGAGAAAGGAGGTATTGTGTCTGTGTGCCTTAGGGGAGGGGGGCGACTGCAGAAATAAAATAAATGCAGTTGAGCTGCGCGGGACTGCTGGAAGCCAGAGCAAGGGAAGGGGCCGTGTGTGGGGGCGCCCAGCGCCCTTGAGTCTTATCCTGAGGCCTTTGTGGGTTCCCAGTAAGCCCTCCCACGCCCGAGTCCCCAGCGCTTCCCCCGCCCCCATCGCCCTCCAATATTAGGAGTGCAGGCCCTGATTCCCCCACCCTCTTAGCCCGCCCGGGATCTGGAATGGTTTTATTTTAATATAGCTCAAGAAAAAAATACGTATCTTGCGAGAGTTGGGGTGGGGAATAATACAAAAGACTTGCGGGGTGGAAAAAAACAAAGGCCTATTTTTATAAATGTTTAATGTTTTCACCCCTGGATGCTCCAAGACGCCGTAATTGTGACGGCGGGGTATGTGTGCCATAAATCATTTAGTTGCTAATAAAAATTCTGCCTGTTTGCCCTGGATTTGCCAATGGCGTTTGCATTTTTCAAGTGTGTGCGCCTCGTCGGCTTGGCGAAGCGAGCTGGCATTTCATTAGGGCCCGATTCAGGACAGAAGAGGCCCCCTCCCCGCTGGAATGTGTGCGCCCCAGCCCCTTGAGCTGCCCTCCCCATGCACTCTTTCACCCTCGCGAGCTGCCACGCGGCCCTCTAGCCACCAGGCGCCGGGCTTGGGGTCGCGACCGCTCCGGGATCCTGGCCGCGCGGCGGGGCACACAGGACTGATCCTGCCCGCGCTGCTCCTCCGGGGCTGCCTCGCTTGTGGACGCGGGCAGGCCCGCTGGAACCAACCGTTGCGTGCCCTGGTCTTTGCCCCCTCTTCGGCCCTGCGCCCTGGTGCCCCGGAGCCGCTGAGTAAACAGCTGCCGGGAGCCATCTTGGGGCGTGGGACCGATCCCAAGAGGAGTAGAGGCTGCAGCCTCGGCCCCTTCGTAGACCCGCTCCATCACAGGGGAGCCTCGGGTGCAACCCTAGCTGGGCCTCTGGGTCTAGGAAAATACACCCCCGCCGCCCTGGTAGGCCACATTTAAAGTGAAAAGCGGGTGTCCACTGCCCAGGCCACAAGTCCAGGCGCCATCTTCCACGCCCCACCCCCTCTAGCTTGTTTACCCGCGGGATCAGTGGCCAAAAACTGTGTTGACGCAGTGGGTGTGTGTGTGTTTTGTACTGACTGGGCGGAAAATCGGCCGGGATGAGGGGACCTCCACGCAGCCTCAAACCACAATTCCGGGAGAACCCACCTAGGCGAGCCTGGCTCAGCGCGGTTATCCTCGGCCCGGGCTGGCCGTCCAGACCTTTTGTATATTCCCAGGTCGCTTCCCTACTAACAAAACTCTCCCCCTTTGTTGTAAAGCCAAAGGACAAGCCAACCTTGAGCCCGCTGTCTCCCCTGCGGTGCCTTTGTAGGCAACAAGCCCCGCACCGGGGCCAGCCGCCAGCAGGTCCGACTCGTGGGAGCCCTCGCCTCCCAGTTCTGCCCAATTCAAGGTTGAACCTGGCTCTTCTAGCACCTTGGTGTCGCAGCATGGACACGTTCTCTCTACACCCTCTGAAAAAAGCCCGGATCCTTTCCAAAACGCGGACACCCTAGCTGCCCCACCCTTGGCCCCGAACCGCCTTTCCCGAGGATTAGGGAAGGTTTGGGCCCATCCAGACTCCACAGAGAAAGGGGCCCCGAGGCTTTCCGGTTTCGGCTGCCGGCTCGGGAGGCCGGGGCAGGGTGTTCTCGGCCAGAGTTTCCACAGGTCCTAGATTCGGCAACTGGGAAGCTCTCAGCCAGGGCGCCACTAAAACCCGGAGAGGCCGCACTGGGGACAGCCATCCTCGCTGTCTGTAGCTGAGTCTGGCCCAGCAGCGGCTCGGCGCCTGGCGGAGGGACGCCCGGACCCACCAGGAAGACCAGGGAGGCGGCGCTAGAGCCCTGCTGCAGCCAAGACCCGGGCGCACGGCGGGCAAAGCCGGGGCTGTTGCGCCAAGCCTGGCCGCAGCGGATTCTGGCTCTTCTCGGCCCCGCCTCCGTCCCTGGCCTCTTCCTATGGCCCTGGTCGGGTCTTCCACTCCACTGTCTGGCTCAGAAAGGACTGAGACGCGCTTGGTGCGCCGCAGGCCGGCTGCTGCCATAAATCTCCGCGCCGGCCCTGCTTCCTGCAGTTTATGCGCGGGTATTCCGGGCTGGCCTCGCATCCCGCGCCAAGCCAAGCGCCTTGCTCTCCTGGTCAC